CGAGTCGTGCTCGCACAGATCTAATCTCAGATTTTGCATGGCAAACGGAATGTGTTGTCTCATCATGATGCTCGTCAGCCAGAACGAAACGCGATTAAGGTATTGCACGTGACCGCGAAGACCTCGCGACGCGTTCTCGCTGCGGATAAGCTGAAACGACGCGTTTTGTTCACGGTACAGCGCGGAAAGACCGCTTACGAGATGTTCGGTTTCGAACAAGAAGCATGAGGCTGCAGAATACATAAAGACTACTCACCGGGTGTCGCGCAACGAGGTCGACACGCTCGGCTTTCTACCGCCACCACATAGATCGCCGTGGACATGAGCCGTCGAACCATGGGATGTATCCCCAGACCGTCGGGAGGCATATCGCGACGCATCGTCAGTCTCGAAGGCCCCTGCCTTGCGAAGCAAATGAAACTCGTTAGTACGGACGCAGACGTTGATCTGTATTACAGTATCCTAGTACGGTCCAATATGGGATATCCCCGTGTCCTCCTGTGCGCTAAACCCCGTCTTTCCCAGAATACCGTCGGAGAGCTTTGTGAGAGAGATTTGCCACATTCTCGCGAGGTACCAAGGAATGCGGACACTAAGCGCCTTATCATGGAAGAGGTGAGTTGGAAGGTTGCCTAACACTTGTAGGAATCTGGGGCGGAAGAGTTCAACGCTCATGACTTTGCACAGGTCATTCGAAGGCATCCATGTTTGCGCAGTTACGAAGATGCTTGGCCCATTCCCACTATGATCAACATGCATCGTCAGCTACGCAAGTACGGAAGCCAAAAAGGTATCATGGGGCACAGGATGACCAACTCAGTGGGTGGTACCGCTGTTAATTATGAAGTTGCAGCTCACGTCCCTGCAGCAGGCGTCATCAGCATCGGGGAGCGGCCCAAGATGTAGCACTTCGTCGCGCATTGGTTCGAGCAGTCGGCTGTTGAGCCGAAGCAAGGTGACACACAAGATCCCTCGATTGAATGATATTGAGGTGCGGCTACTCACCTTTTTGGCTGGGCAGGACAGACCCATACGACGTCGATCGCAACGAACAAGAGCAGAAGTCATGGTTCCCAGCGGCTGTCGAGCTGTAAGGAACGAAGCAATACAAGGCTCACAGGGACCTGCGGCGTATCTGAAGGATTTCTTGCAAGCATTGCCGCAAGATCTGACCTTGCTACTTCCCACTTTCGTCCAATACGGCCTTGTGGACGAGGTATCACTTCGCGGAATGCTTCGTATGCAGAATTGGCGTAGCTGGCTGTATAGCTGGGTCAAAGAAGGGCGGCTTACCGAGCTACAATTCGCAATGGTGAGCGAGGGGCTGGCCAAAGTCGTCTAGACGTCGCAAGAGACAGCCCATAAAAGACAGCTAGCCTTAGACGTCAACTTAGGGGTGTACGATCAAGGCTGTATGTATGGTTGTAGCCGCGTGTATGGTAATGCAGGGCCCATTCAGTCATGCCCGCTGTCGGAATAGGTGCAATCCGCATGAGTCCTTCGACAGATCAGATAAGGAGAGATAGGGTAACAGTCCATAGAAGTACAACGATATAGTACAACACATGACAAGCAACACCTCTAGCAAAAACGATCGCTATTCTTCGCGTCAGCTATGCTGTGCTATGGGATGTTTGAGCAGGCTCACCTCTTGAGCTTCGCACGCCTATCGAGCAAAGCCTCCGCTAGACGGCCCTCTTTCTTCGCTTTCTTGAGCTACGCAAGGAGTGTCACTATATAGAAAGAGGTGTGCGAGAGGATACATGAGACGTACCTCTTTCTTATCACCCGACGATACCACAGTCCTGCCTGCTCCCCAAGCTTGGTACATTTTACTGTGGAACCATCAACGACGAATTCTTTTTAGCGAACCTGTCTACACTCACTTGATGCTCGCCTCATCTACGGAGGATACATCAATCAAGCCTTCCTTCCGCTTCTTCTCCTCTTCGTGTGCCTCCTTCTTGTATTTGCTCTGGATCTTCACCCAGAAGCGTTCGCAAAAGCCCACTTCATCGCTATCCCCACGTAAAGCTAGCTGCCCGCCGGCAACCTCGTCCACGCTCAGGTATTTCTCGTATACGTTCTGGAATGCAACCATCCCGTCGGGAAAGACCACAGGTGACCACTCTTCCTGCGGGCCACGGGCTTCGCGATCGGCAGAGACGAGGCCATGCTTGTCGCACGAGATGAACTTCCCTTCGCCAACGCCGGTGCGTAGATTTATCGTTGACGCCCCGGCAACACGGGTAACGACCCAAACCTGTGAGACCTCCGTCGGGGTACGCTCCATAATACTGGGCGATTCCGACTCGTCGGACTTGTCCTTGTCGACAGGCTGGAGCAGAATGCGTCCGCGCGTCGAATCATATGTGATGCATATGGGTGAGGGATCGGAGGGGTGCAGAATGAAAGTAGGGCCGCGAATCTCGTTCGCGCTTTCGGGCAGGACCCAGCTGTCCGGGGCCTCGTCGTTGTCGTCCTTTCGACGTCTCCTGCTGGGGCCTTCTTCGGTATCTTCGTGCTTGCGCTTCTTCTTCGTCTTTTCCCCCTTAAACTTGAGTTTTGTAGGGCGGACTTTGTCTGTAGACATATCCTACGCGTAAATGCAAATGCAGAGATTCGTTAGAGCGGCAAGTCTGCAGAGCCAGGTGTTCAGAACGTCAGAGTCGGAAGTGGCTGAAGGCAAGCACTCAAAGCAGGCTGCAGGTAGCACGACGAGCAATGAAGTCACTGGCGCTTACCCGGCAGCGTTACCCCAGTGTTACGCCTTGTTTCTTGTGACACGCTGTTGTTATGCGTGACATCAGGCCGTTCACACTTGGCTGTAGGAGGGAGGAATATCTGCCATCGTCACCGCCGACATCCTCAAGACCCTCAAGATGAAGTTCAACCCCGGTCAGTACTCCTTCATAAACGAACGAAACGCTGTCGGTGTGCTCTGGAGAGATCTCGTGGCGGTTGGCGAGGTGGAATCGGGTGGATGGGGCACTGGCGTTATGGATGCGGTGTGTACGGTCAGTCCAGCGTACTGACATATGGTCGTGTCTGCCACAGACGTCTCTTCCTCCCGCCGCAAGTCGCGCAAGGCGCACTTCTCCGCTCCCTCCTCCGTGAGGCGCAAGATCATGTCCTCTTCGCTCTCCAAGGAGCTCCGCGCGAAGTATAACGTACGTCTTTCTTGTCGGTAGTCTTTGCAGGCGCAGCTCGGTAACGGCGTCCATAGACGCGGTCAATACCCATCCGCAAGGATGATGAGGTCCGGATCGTTCGGGGCAAATACAAGGGTCGTGAGGGCAAGGTCACCCAGGTGTACCGCAAGAAGTGGGTGATCCACGTCGACCGTGTCCAGCGCGACAAGTCAAACGGCGCGTCCGTCCCTATTGGCATTCACCCTAGCAAAGTGGTTGTCACGAGCCTCAAGCTGGACAAGGACAGGTATAACTTGTGCGATGTATGTGATATTAGCTTTTTCTCACTTAGATTACCCTGCAGGCGGGCAATCCTTGAGCGGAAGGACAGGAAGAAGAACGCGAAGGCAGGGGAGGACGTCGAGATGACTGACGTACGTCTGTGCCCTGTGCCTTCCATACCCAATGCTGATTTGTGCTTGCAGTAATCTGCTCGACCTTCCTGATGTTTTGTTCTTTCCTGGCTCCCATTGCATCGTCTCTGCAAAATCTCGCATGTATGTATGCCGCTACGCACATGTTTATGCCACATGGGCATTAGGCCGCCCCGCCGCTTCCCAAATACTCGCTGGAAAATGTGATCGCCCAACCAAATTGCGGAGTCATGCATTTGTATTGTACATGGAGACGATGGGTATCGCATTCGATCGGATGACATAAAGACGACGTGGCTAGTGCGCACCGTCTTCAGAAGATGACATCCTCATCCTTGCTGCCCAGCAAATCACCACCTCCGCCGGCAAGATCGGGGGGGACTTCAACTATTTCTGCTTCCTGACGTCTCCTGAGCGCCTCGGCTGCCTCCGCATCTCGTTTCTTCTTTCCTTGCACTTTCTTCAGACTGGACGGTACTGTCAGCACGGTAACTGCGTGGAGTAATTCGGAACGACTCACCGAAAGAACTCCTCTCTGTCCATTTCATCGAGCTCGCTTGTTATGTATTTGATGGTGTTCTCTAGACGAGGGATGATGACATGTTCGATGGCATTCACGCGACGGTTGGTTGCGCGAATGACCTCATCCAGAATCATGAACGCTGTTTGGAGAGATGCGAGGTCTACCAGCGTCTCGACTGCCTTTGCATACACCTCCTTCGCGCGCAGGACTTGCTGGCCGCCACGGCCAAGCCCAGTGAGATTGAAGTCTGCGTGTAAGTGTGCATCTCAATGAGAGACACATGGGGAGATGTAACTCAGGACGCACCTGACCCGGGAACCCTATCGACTTCAAACGCAGGGAGGACGACGCCCGATACGTTCTCCTGTTTAGCTTTCACTTTGAAAGACGCCGACTTGGCCTGCTCCTGCACCAAGTACGAGATGTCGCCGGTCGCGTACGTGACCTCGGCAAGCGAGAACGACGCGAGCTGCATGACGCGGCCCATCTTCCGTTTCGCCTGAAGAGTGGATGACACCGGTTAGGCATGATCGTATGGAGTGGTCCGGGCAAGCATACTTCGTCGACTCTACGGAGGATGGCCCTGAAGCGGGTCGTTAGGGCGTCGCGCTTCTTGGCGAGCAAGGAGTGGCCCGTTTGTGCGCCTTTGAGACGGAGCTTGGTGTTGGTTAGGGCCATCCGCGTTGGGAAGATGTTTTCTCGAGGCCCCGTGCCCGACATGATAACGATAGCAGCTCAGCGAGGGCAAGTGTTGAGACCTTGAGTGTTCAGAGCTCGCCGAACGAAGCTAGGTACAACAGCCTTACGCTCGGCAGTACAGCACCCAGACAGAACGTCAGTGGTTGCTGCTTTTAGGACGAGCTGCAGTAATGCCCCGCCGTGTCATAGGATCTGACGAGGGGCCTGGTTAGCGCCGGGATAGCTCAGCTGGGAGAGCAACAGACTGAAGGGTCTTCGGCCTAGCATTCTGGAGGTCGCGTGTTCAATCCACGCTCCTGGCATGGTAGCTTTTTTCTTTAGCCTCACAGTCCAGGCAAGACAGCGACATTGATTGACGCTGGGTATTACAGCGTTGCCCTGTACGTACTCTTCTGCAATGGCTGGGATAGAACCAGAGGGGATATCACCCCCATCGGTATAAGTCTAAGTTGGCCCCGGTCGTGATTGTAAGGCTCGGGAGTGGCCCATCGGCTGAAGTGGCACATTACTGCAACGCGACAGAGCATTACGGGACGCCAGAGAGCTAACTATATACAGTCTCATGCAATGGTATATTTGCCATAGTCCTTGTCCGGATCGTAAACCTGCAACAAGGACAAAGTGAGCGAGGAGACATGAGAGTCTAGGGAGAAGCCGCGCACCTCCCAACGCGATGCAGGGAATATATGCTTGTTCCTATTGTACCAGCTTCGTTCGACGACTTTCCCGGCGTGCGACTCGTCCTTCTCTACGGTCGCGTCGGCAAGGAGGCGTACGTCGTCATGCACGTCAAAGTTGAACAGGGGACCCGATTTCCCTCGCGCCTTGTTCACTATGAAGTCGTAGAAGGTATAATGCTAAAGGCGGTATCAGTAACTGACCCGGAGCGCTGTGAAGATTCATAGCATACGTGAGGGATGATGAGATCCTCCTGGGTCGTCGTCAGCGGACGTGCAAGAGACCCAACATGTTCCATTCATACCTTGATGTACATGAGATTGTCGACACTGACTCCCCGCAACTCAGGGAACTGCTGTCGACACTTCTCGAGGAACGTAGAGATGGTGTCACCCTTCTTGCACTACAGTTGCGGGTATAGGCGTGCCAAGTGCGTGTACCTGCGTGGTCAGGCCCGTCACAAGCGTTCAAAGCGGGGTAAACCTACCGTGACACTCTTCCTATGACCGCTTCCATCCCAGTACGAGTACGTGATTTCGACGTCCTCGTTCTTGAGTTCCTCTTGCTTGCGGAGCCATTCCTGGCGAAGCGCTTCACGCTCGCGTCGCTCGGCTTCCTCACGCTCCCGATCGGGTAAGAACGACGTGTCGACCTCGGGGTTCTTGCGCGACTTGGGCTTCTTCACTGGGGGCTCCCCGTTGGGCTCACCGCTCTGGGACGCCGAACCGCTCTCTTCGCCCTCTTCGTCATCGAGAGCAAAGGACAGGGTGGCCTTGTTCGTCTTTTTGCGCTTCTTCACCTTCTTCTCATCTCTAAACGAATTCTCCACGCAGAGTAAGCAGTCCGTCACGACGGCGAAGGGACTCGGCGCAACATCGTCGGCAGGGGAGATAAAAAAGAAGCGTGACCTACTTGAGCTCGTTCGTCCGCGCAGCCTCTCGCGCTTTGGCCTCCTCGAGCTCTCTCCTGCGCTGCTGAAAGTCCTCGAGCCTCACGAGACCGACGGTGCTCTGCTTGAGGGTGTCTTCCATGGAGTCATTCTGTCCGACAAAGCGGTTCGCGGACGGGCGGGCCTTCTCCGTCTCCTGTATGAGCGTCTGCTTCTGTCGCTCAAACTCCTCGCGCATCTGGTTGCGCTGTTTCGCGAGTGCCTCCTCGCGGCGGCCTTCTGCTTTGCTTGTAGACATGGTGGACGTTGAGGAACAAGAAGCGAACGCGGAGGCGCCCAGCGTGTGCGCGCTTCTCGAGCGGGGGTGAGCACGGGCGCCTCTATTCAAGGAAAGCGTTCCGCAAGTTCTTGCAGCGTCTCCGTCGTCCGAGCCTCTGCCTCGACCTGCCACTACCTTCGACTCGGCCTTCTGGACAGGCTCGATTCATCTTGCCTCCACCATGCACATTCTTGGTGTGGTCCTCCCGGACAACCACTTCGTCAAGGTGAACATTCACATCACCCACATGTCGATTCCGCATCCGCTGACCCAGACGCCGTGCAGCACGCCTTGACGAAGTTCTACGGCATCGGCCAGAAAACCGCCCTGCGCCTCTGCGCCCGCGTGCAGATCCACGACCGCTGCAGGGTCCGGCACCTGAACCAGTCCCAAGTGACCGCCCTCACCGCCTTCCTCTCCTCGCCCGCCAACTCGCCGCCCGTCGCCGCGCACCCGCTCGCGCCCCCCCACTACACCCCGCCGCCGCTCTCGCAGCCCGTGGCCCTTCCCTCCCAGCAGCAACAGCAGCTCGCGCTGGTGGATACACTGCGCGAGATCAAGATCGAGTCGGACCTCCGCAGGCAAATGCGCGAGAACATCGCGCACCAGCGCATGATCGGCAGCTACGTCGGCCGGCGGCACGCGATGCACCTCCCCGTGCGCGGCCAGCGCACACAGAGCAACGCGAAGACGGCGCGCAAGCTCAACAGGGTCGAGCGGTACAACTGAGCGTGCGGGGGCCCCGACCCCGGCCTTTGCTCGTCTTCTCCTCGGTGAGTTGGCCGGTTTGGTTGGTCGTCGGCTTGGGTTCGCTCTTTCTATTGCGGACCCCGTGCCCCTGGGCTAGCGGCCGTGCGGTCCTGGGCTACTCGGAGCAGTGACTGATCGTCGTTGCACAGTTTTGCTCGTTCGCTGTATGGGCCCTCGCCCTCTGCCTTGCTTTCGCCTGCAATATATCACGCCATTCATCAGGGTCGCTTCCCTCGCGTCAGAGTTGCGCCTCCAAGGCGTGTGCTGCATCGAAGGGCGTCGATAGCGGTCATGCGGAAACTTTTGTACATCCAATACTGCGGTATATCTAGTCGTCGCCTACGGGCACCTCCTCCTCTAAATACTTGACGAGCGTCACGCGGATCTCCGTCGTTTCGTCGCCCCGGAGGACGTCCGAGACGAAGGCAGCCTGCACCTGCATCTGGACCTGCACGTCGAGCCCAGAAAGGGGAGAGTCGAGTCAGTCATGCGGTTATACGAAACGTACAGACGCAGGATCCGCGCGCGAGAATGAGACGTAGGACCGCACCATTTCCAACGCGCCCCTGATGACGCCGCAGAGGACGTTGCTGAACCAGAGGCCGCCCTCGAGGGCCTCCTCGGGCAGCTCCACGAATTCCGCAAGCGGGTTCTCGTCGAATTGGAGCGTGAATGTCGCGCCGGGGGCGTTGGCTTGTGGAGGGGGCATGCTCGATCGAGTGGGTGAAGAGGAAGGCGGAAGCGCGCCGTGCGTGACAGTCGGGGTGATGTTGAGAAACGACTTGAAGCCAACCTACAACTCCACACGTGCGAGCATACATGCACAGACGCATGCGTGGAGGGACAGCATGAGAATCGGGGCTCACGCACGGCGGGATCATACCTCTGCCAGGGATGTGAACAGCCGACGTACCTTTGCGACGACCTCGCCGACCTCGCGAAAATCGGCACAGCGTCCGATGTTGCTGCGGGCGAGGAAGTCCTCGATGAGGCGCGTGCCGATGTTGTAGCCCATCTTCTCGAGCTGCTTGTTTACCTCGGCGTAGTCCTCGTAGTCCTGGATGAGCTGCACGACGAGCGCGCCGTACGTCATGGCGAACAGCTCCGCGTTCTGCAACAAACGTCGCCCTTGAGCCCGTCAGGCACCACCATCGCAGTCGCGCGCAGGGGTAGAGAGAATGAAGAGGTGTAGAAGGGACCAGGAAGAGGGGGGAGCAGGACTGCGGGGTAGACGGCAGGCTTACGATTTTCTCGGTGCGGCCCTTCCAGATATCCTCTCCAATGGCCTTGTATTGCTTGCTCGTGGTCGCCATCGCGAGAAAGGCTTGATGGGCTGGGCGATTGAGGCCGTTTCAGAGAGAACACGGACTGAGCGCGTACTAGTGTACAGTATTAGACCAAGGTAGAATGAACGCGTAGCGCGAAGCAGCCAAGGAAAAGGCGCTCGACGGTCGTCTCCATGAAGCGCTCGCGAGTCCCTATATTGACGCGCCCTACTCCGAGTCGGTCGGGGAGGCGCGCCGCAGCGCCGTGCCGCCAATGATGGTCACGGTCCCGGATGCGTCGCTGCGCGGGCATGGCGTCAGGCACTGGCGTACATATGAATATGACAATGCTGGCGCAATGTATCGAACCGAGCCGCTCCCTGTCAATGGTGTGCGTCTGGCGTGCACCGTCCCGTCCGATCGGGTGGTTTCGCCGCGAACAGGAGTCTCATCATACATATGACCGCTTCGGAACGGTATCATGCAAGAAGACGGATAGGATCGTCCGAGCGTCGATATGCGCTAGTATTACTGTACGACGCTAAGATACAGGCAGTCGCGGAAGCGACGAGCAGCGGACGATGAGTGCAAGTGATCAGGGCAGGCAGGCAATCCGCTCGGGAGCGCAGAACTCTCTCACAGCTGATCCACGCGGAAGCAAGACGTCAGCGGGACGATGATGGTGCATCAACGTCGGTCGGACGTTATTTGTATTGCGAAGTCTCAGAGAGACTCCGGCAATGGATGGAGAGCGGAAAAGGAGAAGGCCGGGCGGAGTTGGGAGGAAGGAGGAGAGACTGCCGCCGGGAGGGGCATGAGGAAGGCCACGGTGGTGGGAACGCGCAAACGCGTGGGCTGGTCGAAGGGGGAGGCGAGCAAGGGTCTGGGCGGGGTATATGTGAGCGAGCTAGCGGGACGCAGCTGACGCTACCTGACGGGGAAGGAAGAGCGAGAACGGATCGAGGAGGTGGAAAGGAAGGGCATATGACCGCGCAGATGGGTATGTGGCCGATCAAGCGCAGACGGGCGGAAAGAGTGATCGTGACGATCTGACGAATGGAGTAAAGATGATGGATCGGATATGGGAGAGAGCGTGCAAGGGCGGACGGTGCTCGGTGCAGAGCAAGATACGCGCGCATGCGTGCAGGATCCAGCGACGGGCTTGCGTGCGCTGCGCGGCTATTGCTCCGAGTGAAACGGGCAGGGTGGGAGAGCGGACGCCAGGTAGAGTACAGTACTTAAAGAGTATAGTGTGTGACGGGGGCGAGGTGGCTACGCGTGCTGTCGTCAGAGGGCGATGCTCTGTGTGAGCCGGGTCGGGGATGCCATCCCGAGGCAAAAGTCAAAGTGGCCAAAAAAAATTGCCGAAAACAGACATGCGTCGGGGGGCGTGGACCCATC